TCGCATTAGACTGTCCAGATGATATGTGGTCTGGAGGTCAGTTTTTGTGTCAATTTGGTAATAGTTGTACAGCTGGCACAGTCATCTGGCGTATCCCTGGTCTAGTGAAGCAGTGTACTAGCTTTCATTCAGTATATGCTTCTGACCTGCGATGTTTTTTCAACCAAAGTTGCGTTAACACTATTCTCTCGATGTACAACGTTGATATACCAAGCCGACTTCCGCTTCCTGAAGCCACAGTTGCAATACAGGCCCTTAACAGTTCCATTAAATCTCGCTTTTTACCGAATTCAACAATGCTAAACCTTCTTGAACAAATGGTGATTGAAGAGTGGCAAATAGAATCTAACTTTGAGAACTATTACAATTCCTGTCTTCCTGTCGCATGTACTTACAAAATTGCTCGACGTCTAGATGTAGCTTATGTGATCTCGACAATTATGGGACTCTTCGGAGGATTGATGACCATTTTTCGGCTCCTTATACCGGCTGCTGCACGAATCATTTGTTGGCTCATCATTAGTCGCCGCAATCGTCCTTGTCGCACTAATATCCGATCCATTACTGCAGGTATCATTATTATATAGTATTGCTATTGTAGTAGTAGAACCATTATTGACCTTCAAAGATAACCATTGCGCCTGAGCAACATAAGCGACACGCTATGAAATGCATAGATCTTCATCAGGAATGTCCTGAACGAGGAGTAGATGAATAGAAAATCTTCGGAATCATTAGAGATTATGGAATACGAGTCCTAGAGTGACTTGACGTTTTAGTAGAATTTGAAGAACCAATATGATAGTAAGTGAAGCATGTGTAGGTTATCTTCTCATTCACATTTACACTTACTTTTCTACACTACTCTTTAGAAAGATTAATATATAGTTATGAATTCTCATTATTCTTGTTTTTTAGGTTTGCGCCAACAATTCGTCGCCATTAGAGTCAACATCAAACTGTGGTTTTTCAAAAGCAATTCTTTTGAGAAGGAATGCTCGCTCAGTCAGATGAGGAATGTTGAAGAATTGGCTGTCAAATCGTCTCGCATATACAATTTGCTTTTCCTGGGAAGCATTTTTGTGCTTGGGCTTTTCAACGGTCTTAATGAAAATATTGTATCTGAAATATTAATGTCACCCTCGCTCTCTACTTTTGAGCAGCTACAAGCATTATATCCAAAAACACTTTCGTGCCCATGCGAAAAAATTTCGGTGCCGTATGGTACTTTTCTTGATGTGACGCTGACATATCATCAGGTGAGTCTCATACGACTTGTGATTAACATGATCGAAGTCAAATTTGGAGAAAACACAAAAAAGAAGTTGTATCTTGTGTTTCTTCCTTCCTCCTTCTAAATATATTCTTGCTGAAGTACTTAATCATCGTTTCCCGTGAGCTCATGTGCTTAGAAAACGCTTGATATAGTGATCATACTTATCATAAATGTAGCATTAGGACCTATTACTTAATGGATATCATTTAAGACCTACGAAATTAGTGAGGGTTATAAAATTGAGCAAGCGAACAAATGTATTCGTGTGAGTAAATATATAGAGAAATTCATTTTAAGTCTGATGAATTTTGTTTTGAAGCATCTATGTCTCTAATGATGACAAACCGAGCTCAGTAAGTTACAGATAATGGTCGATTACTGACAAGAGATTATCAGTAGAATTTATTCACGTTAATCAGAACATAACTCATATGGATGGTTGCAGCCTACTTTTATCACATCATAACCATCTGATCGAATGTGATTGATTGAAGTCGATCTTTGCTTTCATTAAGAACACCCACATGTATTTTTTACCGTCATTTGATAAAGGTTCGAAGAGGTGGAGAGCCGCAAAAACTTGCTCTTAAGGGCCCCCTCAGAAACTAACTTTGTTATTTTTCATTCGATTTCAACCAAAATTTCAGAAAATGTTAGTCTTGACTAGAATAGCTTATGGTTAAAATATCTCCCACAAATCTCAAAGAAATCCACAAGTTCTAGTCAATTCATTACCCCTTACGCGGGCAAGGATTTCACAATAAAGATACGAGCTAACAAATCCGCGCGGTTTTCAAGTTGTAGAGTACCCTTAGGGCTAGGACTTAACAGGATCCGATTTTTGAATTTCCCTTTATTTGATTTTTAAAGAACGTTTTTCGAAAAATATTCAAATTTGAGGTACTAATAGAAATGAACTATCTAAGTTTTTTATTTTAGCAAAAGAGAAATTTAAAAATCGGAGCCTGTTAAGTCCTAGCCCTACATGTCTCCTATATAATAAAAAAATTATCACTTCCATGTCGAATCGTTATGGAGCAAAACCTACCCGCGTAAACGGCATGACAAAAAAACTGATTTTGAGAAAAACGAAAAATAAGTTTTTAAAAACCTTACTTTTTTCAGTATGGGGGTTCGGAAAAACCTATGTAATATCCTTAAATCTCGTGATAAAATCAATCAACTATAGTGCATTCGAGAGTAGACACTTAGCTCTATCTAATGAGTTATAAATCACAAAATCGATAAATTTGACCAAAATTGACTTTTCTGAGAGGGGGGAGGGGGCTTAAACTTATATTCATCATTTTCTTTGAAAATATATGTGAGTTCCACTAAATTCAGCTCGATTAGTTTTAGCACAGCTGACAGTGACTGTTGTAGACTATGCCACATGTGTAATCCATCAACTACAACAGTTTGCATATTCATCACTTTCGGTAGAAGAAATTTTGAAAAATCTAATGGCATTTTTTCTACCAAAAGAGAAGGTATGTGTTCTTGAGGCGAAACGAATGTTGTCTAAGCAATTTATCTAGTTTCATCTAAGATGAGATTCATGTGCAATTTGTACAAACAACAGTTTTAAGAGTTTCACACATAGATCTGATAAACTATTTTGTTACATATTGCACATTTCGGACTAGGAACTATCAAAGGAGGTATTCCAATTGCTTAAAAGATTTTGACTTGATATTTTGACTATCAGTAGGTTCCAGTGAGACTGGAAGAACTCCAACAGCGTTCGTGTCCATGGCTTGTTGGTGAACAGATGAAGCCCTTTTATTGAATTTCTGTCTGAAGTACAGTATTCACAGCAAATTCAAATGAAGTTACTTCGATTTGAAATTTTGTCCATAAAATGCTCTGGTGATTTCTAGTGTGTATCGAAATTTTCAACCAAAGTGAATGATTCGTTTTCGACATATAAAATTTTCAAAATTCGCCCTCTTATAACAGACAGAAGACAATACAGGGGCTAATGTGAAAATTCAGTGCCTCGAAAAGCAACCATTCGCTTTGGTTGAAAATTTTGATACGTACTAGAAATTATTAGAGCCGTTTATGGGCAAAATTTCAGATCGCAGTAGCTTCATTTAACTTTGCTGTAAATACTGTACTTCAGACAGAAATTCAATAAAAGGGATTTATCTTTTCACCAACAAGCCATGGACACGACCGCTGTTAGAGTTCTTTCAGTCTCACTGGAACCTACTTATAGCCAAAATTTCAAATGAAAAGCTTTCAGACAGTTGAAACACTTCCATCGCAAGATCGATACCTATCTTTTATTTAGTGTAGCGTCTCCGTTCTTTTTTGCAAGTTTTCTTTAAAAGAATACTTCAATTTGTTACCATAATTCTTCATCTATTTTCCCTAGACTGAAAGGCTAGGGTCTAGAAACGGAAATTCACCTGTGTCTGTCTGTCTGTAACACTTGGTACAAATGACCATTTTTGTGATACAAAGTACCATAATCATGGTACAAGTGACCACTTTCGTGGTACAAAGTACCATTGTTGTGGCACAAGTGACCATTTATTTGACACAATTGGCCATTTTCATTATACAATTGACTGTTTCTGTGGCGTAATTCACCATTTTCACGACACAATCAACTATTTCTATGGCACAGTTGATCACTCTTATGGCTCAAATGAGCATGTCTGTGCCACAATTGACCATGCCCGTATAAGAAATGACCATTACTTGGGCATAATTGTCCATGTTTTGGTCGTTATAATTAACTAAGGCATCAAGTTTGTCATATACATTAGCATAGTTCAATATTTTATGTGAACTATTTAAATATATCGATAGTATATAATATTAGACATGTTACAAATATTAATAATTTCTTCTAAGCTCATCATTATACAGAATTCATTTTTTTTAAATATAGGGACATCTTGGTCATGATTCTGTCAGTCTAGGGTCAAGGGAATCGACAATCAATGTCGATGAACGTTACTTGTTAATATAAGATAGTGCATATAAAATTACATTCATGATTCCTCAGTGTTGATATTATGTATCAAGTGAATATTTTCGATAGACTGATACGTTAGCGTTGAACAATCATGTTCCATTGTAATTTTCATGATCCTATTTTTCTCAGGTGTGTTCAAGCTCAATTATTGATGTAAATTTTACGACACTACTGTATGGCTATGGTGAATCAATGAATAGTTTCCTACAACTTGATCGACCTCTTCTTAGCAGGCATCTTCAAATCTTGGGATGGATGTGTAAGGAGGCACGATCAGTTCTGAGCAGTAAACTATCTTTTTTCAAAGACAAAACCATGGTGACCGGATCTGCATCTACTCGAACTGTATTTGAAACCCAAACGGCTTTTTTCATTGATGCTTACATCAAAAAATTAATAATAGATTATAAACGAGCGTGGGAATATAACTTGGAAATGTTTCATGGTAACCTATTTGCAACTGCATTCAATACTGATTGGTCACTAGAATTAGTCAACAAATCGAATCTTTATCTCATAAGAAGTGTGCCCGTCGTGTTCCCTAATAGCACATGTAATTGTATGATTTCAAGTGCGTGTCAGAGACCTCTACGAATTGGACCACCTGGTATTGTGTTACCTGGTCTTGTCGTTGGTTGTTTGCCTATTGATGGGTTGCAAATGTCGACACTTGAATGCTTTTTCTCGTCATCTTGTATCGCAACTATTCTAACATATCTCGAGTACTATACACGAATGGATGGTTCACCACCGCTTGATTTTGTTCCGCCAACAATATCTGATTTTCCTTTTGTTCCGCTAAGCAATTCGACTCCATCCCGATTTTCGCCAATGACTTCAATAGGTGAACTCATTGGTGAGCTGTTAACAGAACAATGGATTACGAACATTTCTTATGAAGCATACTTCACTGTATGTGCACCAACTTCATGCCGATATGAACACATCGAACGTAGTAGTATTCTGTATGCAGCAACGTCGCTATTGGCTATTTACGGTGGACTGACTCTTGGCTTGAGATTTATTGTTTGGCATGGTACTCTTCTATATGGATATTTAAAAAACCGATTCCGTGTACAACCTATGATGGAAACTTCATAATTTCTTGAAGCCATTTATAATCTGAGCTGATCGATAGGTTACTAAATGAACACTGTGAAAAGTATCCGCCCTTCATTTCGAACGATTTCTAACTCTTAGTAATGGTAGAGATCACATCAAAGAAGACTGCTCAGTCTGAAACAAGGGTGTGAGGTGGGAGTGTGGGTGGGGTGTGGGTGTGGGTGGGGTGGGGTGGGGGTGGGGTGTGGATGGGTGTGAGTGTGGGTGTGGTGTGTGGGTGTGTGTGGGTGTGGATGGGTGTGGGCGTGAGTGTGGGTGGGTATGGGATGTGGGATGTCGATACAGATTTAGATCAAGAAATGACTAGTACCTTCACCCACCCACACCAACACCCACACTCCACCCACACCCCACACCCACACCCACACCCACACCCACACCCGTAATGCCGGGTGTTGGAACTGTCGCCGCTAGCACTGGTGGTGCTATTGTCGGTGCTACAATGGGATTTATTGCTGGAATGTTTGGTGCTATTGTTCATGCTGTGAAGGACTGGTGTTGATAGAATTCCTTAATATTTTTCTATCTTTCATTCCTTCATTTTGTTTTTTTTCAATAAAAGATATTTCCTAAAAGCTCCGAAGAGGTCGTACATGCTATTTGAAACAGGATGTGTTGTAAAATCAGAGTAGTGAAATTTAAAATATCAAATTGATTCGTCTCGTTCATGAAAACAGTGAGCTTGAACTAAAACACTGGGCCATATAACTCTAAAAGCGAATATAACTTGATGGTGTGGGTGTGGATGTGGATGTGGGTAGGTGTGAGTGTGAGTTTTCTCTTCACTCACATTCACACCCATACCCTCAATCTGTACGCCATTTTGGTTTTCAGAATATTCAGTAACCAATTTAGCTCATCGCAGAAAATAGGTTTCTTCTATTGTCAGTACTGATATATGCCATGGTGGAATGATTTTGGCAGAATGGGTTCGTTCTTTTGTAAAATTTCATGATTATTTATTATGCAAAAAGCAAACGTAGTATACATTTAGCAAATGTGGGTGCGGCTGTCACCAGAAGCAGTGAATGGCTGGTCACTTGTGTTGTGCTTTGCGTTGATGGTGCTATCTTTCGATTGTTCAATGTTTTAGTGCTATTTGATGATCTGAAATTCAGTTCTGTTCACTGGGTTACGGTTTCAGTTATTTTTGGACATACTGCACGATGGGGACGAGTTCGGATAATAAAACAGAAATAAAACTTCTCTTCTAATCCAATTGGTTAGAAACACATGTCCTGATAGGAGAAGATGCATGGTTTGATTTTTGTAAAGGAACTATCTTTTAGTCTATCTTCTTATATACTACCTTGTTTCTGTCTCGGATAGTGGATGAAAATATCGAGATATACTAAAATTCATCACCAAATAATTTATTCAATTCAATACATTCCTTTTTATTCATCAGTATTGTAATCACGAACGTAAATGTCACGATCAAGATAACCTGTATCTATAGCAGCAACAGCAACAGATGTTCGACGAGCAGCATAATAAGCATCACGATCAGAATCACTGTCTATCGACGTTTTTTTATGATTAATGTGTGTTTCATGTACAGCGGATTCTAAAATAAAACAAATATTCAGAAGTCTATCCTTAGAAAATAACTAGTTCAGTCTTTCAGTAACGATTCGTATGGAATTTTCAGGCTGAAGCACCAATAATTAAGACAGTATTAAAAGTGTTTAGCTTCTGTGATTAGTTTTTCTCTCGAATTGATCGTTGTTCTTGTTGATTTTCGTATGAGTATCGGCGAGATTCATGGAAGAGAAGTTCTTTTTTTGTTGATCATTCTCTATATTTGGTGGTCAAAGAACCAGTTATACAGATACTTTGTTGAGACATTCGATGAAGTGCATGTATTTAATATGCGATTAGGGAATGTGGAGCTTCTACCTCACTTCTTATGCCTGTCCTGTTAGTATCTAGGCAGTGTTAATTCCAAACAGAAGCGAGTCGCCATTTATGCAGATGTAGTGCATCTGATATGCTTTCGTTTCAAACATTAGTTAATTGTTCAATATTATTCGAGAAAAGCACGACAGTGCTTCACTGTGTCTTGGGTGTTGATGTGAAAAGACGATTGATACCCACACTCGCAAACCTATGTAGACTTTTATTTCAAAAATATTATTCACGTTTATCAAATAGTACGAGATGAAAGTTGTGCATCGGCATCGAGCTATGGTTTAGAATTTTATCAAAGTAATCTTAAGAACTCTTACAATACTGTCTCAGAGTGTTTCAATATTTTTAGCACGAATTTATAGATTACGATGGGTTTCTAACGATTCTTTATCGGCTTTTCTTTATAGTGTTACTGCTTGGTTTAAAGAGTGTACAGGTAACACGGGTATTTTAAACTCGTTTTTTTTTCGAAACATGAAATATAACATGACATTTCAAAGCGCATTCTAGGGATTTCGTGAGAAAAATTAGAAGCTTTTACTTGTAAAAGAACTGATCAAGAACTTAACGATATTTCTATTCTCGGAAAAACCTTGGTTTGTAAGTGGAATTATTGCATAAAAAATATAACAAAATTGTTCGTACATACTATTGAAGCGTTGCTTTAAATTCAGGTAGATCAGATATTTCTTCTTCATTTCATCAAACTCCATATGTTCAACAGTGAAACAAACGCCAGGAAATACTAATTCTTCTTCTTCTCCTTGATACTCAGAATATTCTTGAATATTTGCAGTAAAAGCAAAGGTGATTTCCATGATGAATAGCACGTTGCAACCAAGAGACTGTTCGACGAGACCACGATTTCGACTGCACGAAGTAAACGCTTGAAATGAACCATACTTATCGGGTCGTTGAATCAAGTCTCGATAAGAGTCAATTTGAGATTCGGTTAACTTGGCTGCTCGAAACAATATTTTTTTATCTCTTTTCGTCGTAGCCTTTAGATTGATTGGATCGTCCCACAAGAGCAAGCAGAAAGGTCCCAATGTATGAACTTTACTTCGCCACATTTCTTCATGCTCGTTGCTTCCTACTAATCTCATAGTCTCGTTCAATTTCTTGTACAAAAAGTCTTCCATCGAGTAGAGATGAGCACAGCATTTCCAAACTTCTTGTATGCCTTTATCCTTTCGATTTCTTAGTTCTTTGGCCATCCATTTAGCTGAACTTAGTCGTCCTAGTTTTCTGCCTTCTTCAATGATACCTAGAGCTGCTCTCTCAACAATGATTGGAATGATTGATGCGTCTCGTGATGGTAGTTGATTCCTTCCAAGCTTGAGATCTTTTCTTACTTCTTTAATAAAAGGTGAAATCCAACCGTATTGACCACCAAAAGAATGTTTGTTAGAGGCAGGATCATTTAAGAAGCGTTCTTGCCGTAAATAATTACTATCTCTGTTGCCGATCGTTCGGTTTACAGAGCTTTGCTTGGTGGTATCTGTTTTTGAGACTTGAGTATTGTATTTGAAATCTATGCAATGATTGTCTAGCATGGCATGAAGTTGCTTAGCCTGAAATGCTTCCTCAATAATGAAGTTTTCTATGTCAGAGTAAGGAATCCATTCAGCTGGCTGAGACTTGTCTAAGGGATTCGGATTTGACTGGAACATCCATTGAACTCGTGTCAATGATTCAGTGAGTGACAAAGATGTACGATTCATAATTGTTATTTTTTGCTTCAACTAAAAACAAGCAGCATTAAAGTATAATAGTTAACTGATATCTCTTATGTTCTAGAAACGATGTAAATAAAATATATGTGTCATGTGATGTATGATTTCAGAAAGATACATTATTATGTCACATGACATCATCAAAACAGCTTCACCTTCTCCTCGACACTATAGACTGCTATAAAAGAGCTAAAGAGAGACAGTGCATAGAAATTTTCGCAAAATCTTACTGGGATCGACGAGACTCTGTCGAAGTATTTCTTAAAAGCATCTCACGATCCACGGATGTTTAAGACTTATTATTGAAACTACCATGGGATGCACGCAATTTAGTTGTATTAGCTAAGATTAGAACGGTTAAACTTTTTTATTGTCTTTCATGCACTGACGACGACTATTCCTGTTAAAGACAAAAATTAGAGAGTATATTATCTATCTTCGTTTTGATCATATTCGCTTTTAGTTCATTCGGGATTTATATATATCAAATACCGTATATGCATCCCATAGAACAACTACCGGACTCGTAGCACCTCTTGGCCATTCATTTGTTTATATAATATTGGCATAAATCAATGATCGTCGAAACTTAATCATCGAACTAAATTATATTGTTCTCATCCGCTTAACTATTTGTATGCAATGAGCAGCTCATAGCTTTTTTTTGTATATAGTTCGACGAGAAAGTTTGATATGACTTTGGTATTTGTGCTGTATGCTAAACTCGAATAGTCCCAAACGATAGTAGTCTCAGTATTTTGCTACGATCTCTTTCAATACGCTTTTTTTAACAGCTATGTGACAAGGACGCAATACATATTCATATGACTCCAAACATTTTCAGTCATTTTATTGTAAATCTATATAGAGAATTTAACGATTTTTGCAGTCATAAATTTAAATAAAGTGATTAGGATTGGAGGCGGCTTTGCAATGCAGCACTCATAAAAATTCCGTGGCCTTCTATTGAGTCTCTATCTATTTAATATTAGTTGATCTCCATACCGACGCACTAGTTATGCATAGGAAAGAACATTGAATAATTCTGCAAAATGAGTAATTCTTGATCAACTCGATCTAGATGGGTATTGCAAGTTTTCAATAAGGCTTTTGAGATGTATTTAATGTCTATTTAATTTGCACAGCATCAAAAAAATAAACTGATCTAAACTGCAGCTTAAAGAATTCTGATGTTTTTTTTCTTTATGACGCAAAACAAACAAGTATTATTCATGTGCTATTTTTGATATTATTGAAAGAGTGTGCCTGAATAGATATGAATAACGATACGAAATGAGCTGAGGTTATTAGGAATACGTGCATTACAGTGAGAATTACGATGAAGACGACAAAAAGAATCTTCTACAAACGTCTTTATATTTGCCTGCCAAATATTATTTGTTTCTACTTTACTCACTCAAATTGTATAACTTTGAAGTATATGGATCAGAGCTCGGACACAAGTATTTTTAATTGCACTTTTTGTACTTTTTCAAGTAAAAGTACTGGGAGCTGACACTTATGAATAAAGGCACACAGTTTCGGAATTACATTGTAGTACTAAAATTCAGCTTTTATCAACATGAAAGATGATTGATTTAAAATTAATTGTCACTTGAATAGACTGGAAGAATTTCAGATGGTTTTATAAGTTTTCGTTAAAATAGACTTTCATGTTCGAAGTAACTATAAAATTTTTAAAATTTTCATCCACGTTTCAAAATAGTTCTGATAAATTGCTTGCATAACTTCAATATTCTAAGGCGAATCAAAAAAACGTCATCATTTATGCATCTAATTCTTCATTTCAAACAGACTCAACAGATGACACAAGACAATTTTTACAAGAATCCTATAGTGACTTTACTAACATACACTAGAAAAGAGTTAAATTACCATCTTATTTCAATCTAACTTGTTAGTAGATGGTGCCACAATTATCCTAGAAAGTTTATTAGCATAGTCACCATTACAGACTACATTTTATATTTATACATCACGTAAGAGTATAAAATAAATACTTTTTTTCGTACTTAAGTACTTATTTGCTGTACTTGTACTTGTCGTAGCTCTGATATGGATAATCACAGAAGGAATGAATGACAGATATTCGTTTGAAAGTGAAAATTGTAGAAACTTATATTCACCTGTCGTCCCTTGGAAAATATAAAATCTTCAAGTAAATACAAAGAAAACTTCCAAGTAAGCTATATCTTGTTTGACGTAGTCAAAGCGTCGTCATATAAAAATCGATTCTACAAAAGAATCAGGCACGAAAAACAACAATAATGCAAATTTATGCTGCATCGCAATTCTTAATGAAAACAAAACACCGAAGAGACAGTCATATTTTCTTTTCTTCGATAGAATTTGAAATTTGTTTTACATGCAAGAACAAATGAAAAAATCCTTATAATTTTCTCTATAATGCACGTTGTGCATCATTTATAACCCGAAAATTTGAATCTCTGTTTTGTTATTGTGAATCACTATTGCTAATACATGTTGAAATCAAGTTCGAGAACTATGAAACGACTGGTACACTACGATTTTTTCACATATTGTGAGACATAGTTCGACATTCTGTTTTCGATCTTAGTCTCCTGAATTTAAACTTTTAAAGCTTTACTGGGGTATTAAAAAATGTCGATATGCTATCTATGTCCTTGAAATCGCTAAAGCACTTGGCAAGTAATCACCGGTTTCCTATTAAAGTTTTCGTGATTATTATATTAATTCGTGATTTATTAGCAGTTTCATTCGGAGTATGTTTATTACATCTACTTTTTCGATTAGTTTTTATTCAAAAGAATATCAAACCCATGTGTTCGATTGCGATCAAATTGCGACGCAGTTGCGCCGCAACTGCGATCGCACTGTGACCCGCAATTGCGAAAAATTGTGATGCAGTTGCGCGTAACTGCGATGAAAAAATCGCAGTTGCGCGTAATTGCGATAAAAAAATCGCAGTTACGCGCAACTGTGATGCATTGATCGCAGTGCGCATAACTACGACGCAGTGGTACAAAAGAGGCGACATGGGAATCATTTTGATCACATGTTATATGAGAAGTTATAATAAAAACAAGAAGAAAAGTCACAGAAAGCTATCTATTGTTCTCCACAGATTCATTCATGAGGTAGAACAATGTAAATTAAATAAATGAATATTATAAGTCATACGTATCAAAATAGATGACGAGGAAAAGCGTTTACAAATTATGAGTAATCATTAACATAGAAAAAAAAACAACACGTCAAATGCATGAAAACTAAACTAATTACATTAGAAACACAAAGTTCAAGTGAAATTGATAAATAAAATCTAATACGTATACCTAAATATAGGAAAATATCAACAATTATTATACGTCGCTTGATGTGTAATGATTAACTAATCGGAAGATTAGAATTTTCTCAGACATCGGTTTCAGCTTAGTCAAATTTATATTACCCGATTGACCACTTATTTGCTTTTGTTCTATTCATCGCTATACGCAGTCTTAGGAGCAACTTGTGTAGTTTATATTTTCATTGCGTTGTTTTTTTTCCTTCTTTGTTTATGAATCACAATATTTGTATTCGTCATTTTATTGGTAATCAAAGAGAACTGATCAGGGCCTTTGTTTGTCATTGCATCATACATCATTTTCATCGCATACTTGCAAAAACACTAACGCACTGTCACTCTGTACGTCACCACTTTTTCTACGACAACAGTTTGATACAATTTGAGTCGATCTACACTTTAAAAATAAGGCGTTTTCTGAGAAACAGCAACTCCTTCGGAGACTTCTTCGAAAACCCATGAAGGAATCCAGAAAGATTTCCGGGCTCATGTTAATTTTCTGAAAATATCCTCTTGGTTTCCGAGCATCTGGATACCTATGGTTTTTCGAAAGCCGCTTGCAATTCAAAAAGCTTCTCGAAAATTGTTGTTTTTCGGATATTTTTTGGTGGAAAACTTTTTTGGGATTTCGGGTGGATGTGAGTGTGGGTGTAGTTTTCGTTCTATCCTTCAATAACATCCCCATACTCACACTCTTTATTTTTTTTTTGTTGAAAAATCTCTTTTGTTATCAGTAGAAAGAATAAATAAAATGAATTGAAATCTTCTAATTTTTTTTATATATTAATGTGTTCTATTTTCTTATGCTAATTAGGTGAATCAGCTGAAAATATTACCACGAATAAACAAGCTTCATCTGAAACGTCCACTAATTCAATTGAAATATTTCAATTAGATTTTTATCGTGTGCACGTTCATTTCGTGTTTTGGGAAAAAGAGAAAAGAGTTATATATATACGTTTTAATGAGGCAAAACAATTTTTCATAAATGTTATTTCAGATGATCCTCATTGTATGGGCACATATTATTGGTGGTGTTTATGAAAAATCACAGTACATTCATGTACATCACAAAATTTTCAACTACTTTTTACTTCATCACCTCATTACCACATCTATATTACGAGAATTGATGGCAACAAAAATTATTATCGCTATTGTTCATCGGAATGCAGCAGCGGCACCACCATCGGTTCTTGATCCAATCAGAACTAAAGAATATGCAACAACAACAAGATTTCAAGGTAAAGCTTTAATTGCAAGCAATCCAATGACATTGAACAATGATATCACAAGTAAACATTGTATTACTACGTAAACAGAAAAAATCAGAATTTTTTTATATCATTTATTGATAAGTCAGAAGAGCACAGTATAATGAATCAAATTTCATGCTGAGCATTGAAATATTTAGAAAACTGAATATGTCTCGTTTTCTTTTGTTTTAGTTCATGGAATTCGTATTTCTCGTAAATCATGCACTTTCGTTTTGGCTATTCTTTAATCACATGAAGTTACTCATGTAGTTAAATATATTGGCCAGAAAATAAAAACTACACCAGAATTACCATTTTTCAAAACATATTCATGTCCTGATGAATATAATGGTAGAAATGCATTGAAACGCGATCTTGTTTTCTGTTGAAATTAATATTAATCGTAATTGTACACATACTAATGTGGAGCTATTTAGCACTGGATCAGATGGTTAACATATTAAGCTATCACCATCAGATATTAATCATTGCCTAACAAACAACAGTCTTCAATCTTTACCATCATTAGTTCATCGATTAGAATTTAAACATCGACGTGCAAATGATAGTAGAAAAACTCATATTGATTATATCAAATCAACTAATTATGAAAATAAGAAGAACGATGAAAAATTTGCACTTCTACTTCATTATGATATATGAACAAGTGCTTTTCAATCTCTAGATGCTCCATTATTCTAATGATATTATTGTTTCTCATTTACTTAGGATTGTTCAAAATTTCTGATACAATTAAATAAAAATATAAAGATAAACAAATATTTTTAATTTTATTTTATCAAATATTCAGGATAGTTGCCATGATTATTTATACTAAATTCGATTCTTTCCTAGAATTAGTCCAAAGTTTTTTGTGAAGCCTTATTCTGAAAAACTATTAGTTACTTTGGAAACCGCACGAGTAGATGATATTTCATTTATTTAATCAGTTAAACTATATTTGATAGAATTACTTAGCCAAAGATTACATACCATCAGGTCTAGCAAATATGGTGACGGTTACATTATAATGATATTTTCTTGATCTGTTCAACAAAGCTGTTTCCGAGAAGATCGAAATTCGATCAAGATAATAAAAAAAAAACATTTTTGTTTTCAAAATGTTCACCTGAGTTGTCCAAGACCTGTTAAACATATTCACAGAAGCAAATTTTTACATCCGAAGCAAATCTACACTGTTTCAAAAATATGAAATTGTTGTGCTACCATTTTAATATCTTTACGATGTGTATTTTTTCTTGCTCTTCTATAAATAGCTCTTATCAATGTTCTATGATTTCAAAGTAAAAATGATAGCTCTAGGTTGAATCGAAATTTTTTCTATTATTTTCAATATTGTAAGTTGCTATACCTGATGATAACTTTGTTAAAGTTTCCTTCGGCACAAATGAGGGTTATGTAATGGATAAAAAGATAAGTGAACGATCAAAGGATGGGATCACCGTTGACATAACATAAACACCCACAATAGATTAATATGCTTTTTTTTCTGCTATAGACTTCTCTGTCATTTACTAAATGTAGAAAGAAAAGAAGAACAAATATAAATTATTCTAACATTTTGAAAGTTACCACTATTTTACAGCTATCAATGATAGACTTCTTCATCGAACTTGATTTCCTGTGCTCTTATCATTGATGAGTTGTTTTTGTTCTCAAATAATTTGATGACAATTAAGTTCTCATTATTTTCAGTAAAATTTTCATCTGCTTAGGGTGATTGCGGCTATGGGTATCTATATACACCTGAATGTTGATGAATAGCACCCACACCTACCCTCTCAAGTGAGTTGAAACATCGGCATACAATTATATTTTCAATAAATAAAAAAGAAAAAAAAAAAAGAAATATTTTATAAAACATGTATCGCTGCTGTCAGATCAATAATTTTCAACATTTATATTATAGACTGTCTCAGAAACAAGTCAGAGAGATCTAATCTTTTGGATTTCGCTATGCTTTGACTAAACCTTTCAATCGAAATTCATAAATCGACAATTACAATTTTACCAACGGCCGAGTTTGGATGAAGTCGTTAGGTAGCCTCACAGAACTTCTCTTTAAGCTTTGAGTTTGAATGTTATTACTAAAAAACTTTTTCCTAGGGAAAAAATCACTTTTTTTAGCGGTAATGATTTTTCAAACAAAAAAAGCTATTTCACTTAAAAATATGTTTTGTAATAAAAAAGGTTATTTTTTAATGAACACATTTTTTTGCTAAAAGAAATTCTTTTTAGTTGAAAAGTCAAACTCAAAATTTTTAAAAACTGATTATAGATTTGGATTTGTTGACCTCGGTTACTTTTGGTTAACCTTTATAAAAATCGTTATTTTCTTAAAAAACTTCTTGCCTTGACGAAAAAAGTTGAACTCAAAATTCTGAAATTTTGGTTTCAGATTCCGGTTTCACGACCTCGAAAACATTTGGTCAAAAACAAAAATACTGATTATCGGATCAATTTTGAGTCAGGTTCTACTTGAATTACAAGACCAAATATTTAGAACTGTTTCCGAAATTTCAATAGATTGTTAACACGCAGGATATGCATTGTTTTGTTATCACCTATCACCAAAAATAAGACAAAAATCGAAAATTGTTGAATTTGGTTCATTCATTTTGGCTATAATGTTTGAAACCAATCAGAGATCTAGTGTAGCCTGCAAAGCATGAGAGTTATTACTCGTCTTCATCTTCAATACAAGTGAAAAAACGTCTTTTTTCAATATTCAACTGAAGATGACGAACATACATTGAAGAAGAATCAGTGCTGATCTCATAATGATATAGTCTTATGATTTGAATAGAATATTCAATGGTGTATCTTCTAACAAAAGATATCGACACTTTGTCATGTTTCTGAACATAGTTACATGCAAACAACATCAGAAAATTTTGCCAGCACGTCCTATTCAAACTAATGTTTTTAGACTCTCAAAAAGCACCTTACGAGTCTCAAAGAAAAACTGAAAAAAAATTTCAAAACTCTTATTTTGAACGAGCACAAAATTCTATTTCTAATCTATAGTTATTAACTCAGTATAAATACTTTCAAGGATCTCGATAATAAACAAACATTTTGTCTCAAAACTTTGGATTCCACGCGTAATATCACCATCATCAATCAATTCTTCATTTAAAAATGATGTAGTTGTGTACAAAAAAAAAACAACTTATCTACTAAAACTTTCATTAGTTTCGAGCTTTTCAAGGATAAAGTAAATATGAAAATCTATTCTGTAGATAACTATTGTTCAAATTTAATTATTAGATTTTAATTAAATAAAGTTATTTGGACATTTAGTTATTATTCTCATCATGCTTTATACAAAGGAAATTTGACAATGTTCTTGAAACTCTTTTTTTCTTCTTTATTACTTAACAACATCTCAATTTCTTTTTTTTTCTTTTTGTCTACCATAGTATAATTTTTTTGGTCGTTGTCAACAACAATATAATCAAGAAAAAAATATAATTAAAATAGTATCTAAATAGTGATTCACCAACATTGCTTTCTCTTTTTACTCTATATATGCAAAATGAAACCTGTCATTTTTTAAATTCGTATAAAGATAAATTAAGGTTTCATATTATTTCTATTTCGAAACAGCAAAATATATATAATCAAGACAAATTTATATATTTATTCAATTAAAAATCTCCATGTGCATTTGTCCATTGACTATTTCTTGAAAATGTTTCCACGATCAACAACATCAAATTTATCTGACACAATAATCCGAAGAAAAAGAATTGAAAAGAATTTTTTAGAAAATCAATTTTTATCTATTGATCGTGATCGAAATAAACTACGTTTAAATCATGAACGTCATATGGAAACATTTTTACAATTAAATCGTAAACGACATGAAACTTGGTATCGATATGATAGACATTTTCGTGAAGCTTTAAAAAAAGAAAAAGATCGATATGAAAAACGTAAAGAACGTCATGGATCAACAAGAAATCTTCACCTCAGTACATTACCATCACTTATAACAATAAATTCACGTCCAGAACCAATGACAAAAGTTGAACAACGTACATTTAAAGTTTTAAATGCTTCACAAAAATTACTTGATGAATCTGCAACACGATCAAGATATAATTTTAATCAAAGTCGTCCTTTAACATCATCAAGTACTCTTAAAAGTTCTTCAATAATAACAACAAGAAGTTCATGCACAAATATTAGTACAAATTTCAATATACCAATGATGCAATCAATCGATTTTGAAGAATATAATCGTTTAATGAATGAATCATTAAAACGTGAAACATATTGTGATTTTGTTGATCATTTTGTTAAATTTTCTCCAGAATTTCGTGAAAATTTTGCTCATTATCATCAAGCAAATAAACGAAAAAATGCTGTGGAAAAATTACGAGAATTAAATCAAACATATGCAAAAGCAAAAGATCAACGTTATCATAATTTAATTGATAGTCTTATTGATTGTCGCTCAAAACAAAAATAAACATAAAATGAATTTTTTTTATGTGTGTATGTGTACACTAAATAATTTTTGTTTTTGTTTCAAATTCAAATAATTACAACAAAAACAAAAAAGATTTCAAGATTTATTCATACATAAATATATGAAAGTTTATTAAATAGATGGATAACATATGAACACTTCCAAAAAAGAAAATGACCTTTATGTACAATCGATCTGTTAACCGGTGTAAGCAATCCATAAACGAAAACACAACAACAGAAGAAGACAAGATATAAAAGAGTCTAAGTAAATTAGTTAGTGAATTAAATATTGTCTCTATCTGAGAATAAAAAAAAAAGACAAGAAAACCATAATTATGATTTGAGATTTGCTAACATTCGTTCGATTTCAGCATCTTCATCATGCACTTGTCGCCGATTTGATACCATACCAGATGCAGCTGCTGGAACACGTGGTGCAACAGCAATCTAAATAAATATATTTGTATAAAAAAAAAACAAAAGTACAAACTAACTTTTTCATTCATTGAAATGCCAATTTCATCAAGTACTTGATTAACAATAGCATCTTCTTCTTCTGAATCACCTTCTTCTCCAAATGCTGCATCTAATGTTTCTCCCACTAAATAAATACTTATCTATTAGAAAAATAAATATAAAAAAAGTTTCCTACATACTCATTTCTTCTTTTATACCCAATTTTGTATGTTCTTGAGTAAATTGTTGAGTAATTTTTGACATTTGTGCTGGATTCATAACTTTATTCATT